CCCCGTTACTCGTTCCCTCATTCCTCGTTCCCGCATTCTCCGTTCTCCCATTCCCCGTTCCTCCATTCCCCCATTGCCCGTTCCCCCATTCCCCCATCCCACGTTTTTCGACAGAGAAGACGATCTTTTTGCCTGTATTCAATCTACAAACACTAGAAACAAGTTTACTAGTCGTATTTTACTCGTATTCCACTCGTATGTACTCGTATTCTACTCGTATGTACTCGTATTGTACTTGTGTTTTACTCGTATGTTACTCGTATGTACTCGTGTGTTACTCGTATGTACTCATATGTTACTCGTATGTACTCGTATGTACTTGTGTGTTACTCGTATGTTACTCGTATGTTACTCGTATGTACTCGTATGTACTCGTGTGGTGTTTTAGTCACGATCAAGGGAGGGGGGCTAAGTTTGTTTTACCGATCTAGTTGCCGATATCAATTCGATAAAGTTCGGGGGGGGGGTGTATTTTAACAAATGCATGTAATTTTAACGAATAGCAAGAGGCTTGTGTTGCAAAATCAATGGGTGCGGAGATGTCTTTGTATATGTATTCTTTGTGGATTGCATTTGCGACGTCGCTGCGCAAGATCTATAATACGTACTGGAGTCTTTCAGTTTCATATTGGGAAAACCGCAAAGAATTACTAGGACAGGATTTGTAATATACTCAAGGACAATTAAGCAAAGAACATTCGGTGTAGCAGCCAACAGCGAGTCTATTGTAAATTGCCGTAAATTGTAATCGTAAGTGGAACGGCTCGATAACACGACACATGCATATAGAAATAACAGTAAGAAAATATATTATATAGTGTGCACATGAGTATCCGATAGTATGTCTATTTCCTCGTGTTTCAATAAGACAGTACTCAGGGGATTATATTATATATACAGCTATTTCAATTAAGGTTGTCCACGAGCAAAGCGGAAAAGTCGAATACGAGCGCGAAAGGCTGCTGGGAATCTCTAACAAATTAGGGACCGGTCATTATTTATGGCGGGGGGTGGCACCGAAGAGAAAAAGGTTGGGTAAACAAAATTTTGAGTAAGTAAAAGGTTGGGTAAATGAAAAACAAAACAACTCAAGGGTTGGGTAATAAAAAATTATTGTCATTTCCAAAGCATGACCCACTGAAATATTGGAGACTGAAAAGCAATGTCAACAGTCATTTGTCAATACAATATGTGAATCAATCAGAGTCACTATCTTCACCATAGTTCGACAAAACAAATTGTGTTTCCAAAGAAAGTACATGTGCAGACAACATGAAACTTTAGACTGCAGAAAATTTCACAAGCCATTATCAAACCCATGTCACTGAAGTGACAAAGGTATGACAACTGAATGGTATCCTTTTGTTAAGTTTTTGGCCAGGGGTGGGTAGTTATTTTTTAATTGATATTTGAGGTTGGGTAATCAAATTTTTGTCTTTTTAATGGTTGGGTCAGCAAAATTTTTGACACGGAAAACATTTCTCTTCGGTGCCACCCCCCGCCATAAATAATGACCGGTCCCTTAATGAATTTTCAAAGCGATTCCCAGCAGCCTTTCGCGCTCGTATTAATTTTTATACTCCTTTTCTTGTATTAACTCTTCTAAATAGTTTTTGTTATGCGCATGTGAACATATATAAATGAAACATTGCGCACTATAAATGTAAAAATTATTGTTATTATTGTTTGTAGTTGCGTGCTCGTAGAGGACCATGGCCCTCTGCGAGAGTTTACTATAGGGGGCGTTAAAGCTTTTAGGGGGTGCCGAAACTGCATGAAATGAAACCAAAATTGTAAATCAGAGAGTTTAAGCTTCGCGTTATATTATACGGCAAACGGCAAAAGCCAGGCACTAAGAAAAATTTTACGCGGTATCAGGCAATAACGAGAAAATGAACTTGCTGTTTTAAAACTGAAATACATAATTTAGCAAGAAAGAAAATATGAAACGAAAACGTTCAACCAAAACGTGAAACTCAAACTCCCTATTACACCTAAAAATCGGACAAATGGGTGAAGGAAAGAGCTCGAGCACGCTGTCTGGAGGTCAGATTTGGCTTCAAGAAAAAGCTATAGATAGGCAGTTTATCATGAAGGTAGCGTTCCTGTTATATTCATTTCAATGGGATGACCACCCACGCACGATGAAACATAGCCATGCGCCCACGATTATTGATGAACTTTAGACTTCGCTAATGCTTTCCTTTTCCCGGGTGTACTACTAAATATATAGCCGTGTTTATAGCATGATTGACACCCGTGTTTATATCATGATTGACGGATTGAGCGCTCTTCGCATGCCTGAAAAGACTGGGACTGGCCATCAAATTTGACTTCAAATTTCATTGTAAAACATCGAGACACAATATTGTACGAGTCAGAGTCGCATTTTTCTATATATGTTCCAAACTCTCGGCAAGAAAATCTGAAAATCTCGGTAAGAATGTAAGATCATGGCAAGAACTTGCCATGCATGCACGATTAATTGTTGATACCACGATCTTTGCAAGATCCTGTAAGATTCGTAAGGTCTTGCCTGAATTTTCAACCTGCATGGGATATGGCCGGTCATGGGTTTTACGTGCCATTAATTAAATCAAACAGTATGTTTTTCTTGGACTCCCAATACTTCGTGATTTTGTAGCTTTTTGTTGCTATCTTCTATCTTTCAGACGCGTAAAAGCAAGCGAATTGTCCGAAATAAACAAAGGCAAGATGAAAAGAAGACAAGATAACGAAGATGAGGTACTAGCTTGTTCCCAAATTCTTTTGATTGATTATAGAAATTACCCATATATATATATATATATATATATATATATATATATATATATATATATATATATATATATATATATATATATATATATATATATATATATATTACGCAAAGAGTACTCAATATCATAAAGATAGAGCAAATGTAGAATTTCGCTTACCTCAAAATTCCGCAACAGTCTGTTTCATCAGTAAAGAATCATCAACAGTGTGTTTCATCAGTAAAGAATCATCATACCGCCTGATGATTCTTTACTGATGAAACAGACTGTTGCGGAATTTTGAGGTAAGCGAAATTATACATACATACATATATATATATATATATATATATATATATATATATATATATATATATATATATATATATATATATATATATATATATATATATATACGTTTGATATTTTAATGTACGTTATCGTGCCGACTGAGAAACACACAGATATACATAGAAACACCATTGAAAACGGCAGAGGTAATCAATCGCATTTTAATTAATCAAGTCTAGTTTTATATACACATGTGCAATTTAGCGTAAATTATCCCTGTATATAATGAACAAAGAAAGTTATTAAATTAAACAAAAAGTATACAGTATACGTTGTAAAATTTAACATATGCAGCTTGAGCGAAAACTTGGCATTGCACAATGCTATCACTCATGCCTCTCAATGTTACATGTTCATTTTACAATGTTTGGTTATACTGGATTTTGACTTTGAATAAATTATAATTAAGCTAAAATACTTTTAAAACAGCACTGGTAAATTACGTGCAACAAATGAGTAGATAAAGGCACTATGTGATAGTGCAGTTTAGTTTATGCATTAAATGTAGCTTATTAATTGAAAGTCAATTAGAAATAACCACCAAACCAGAAGTTGGTTGTTGCATCAGGCGAAGACGTACAACGGAACTTGGTGTTCTTGTACAAGTAAAGACCAAAATATCTTCACTGAACACAGCTCCTCCTCTCGGTGTGAACTGACAAGCTGTCGATGTGCTGTCAAGATGCACACTTTCTCTGTTGACGTATGCATACCATTTCATTAATTTGTATACGTTACCACCTTTGAAGGTCGTCACATCGAAATTCTTGAACCTTGCATCGGTATAATCTCGGTAAATATCAACAGGCTTGGCTTGAAAATCACAAGTGACTCGTCAATGAGCGGATTGCTTCTTTAAATCGTTCATTTGTGAAAGTGACATTCGGTAGCGATTCCAGTTCGGGGTTTTCGGGAATACTGGGGCATTAATTTTCAGTGCACGTTGAGAAAATGCAGGTATGACTTTATTTTTCAGCGCCGCAAATGACTCGACAAGTGTCCATGCTGACCCTGGCCCGGATTCCATATCGCAGAATACGGTTTGAAATGATGTTGCCTGCTCCGTCTCTTTTGATTTGATAACCAATGGTTTGATAGTCTGTCTTAAAGTAATAAAGGCGACTTCGTGCTTTGACATCACGTCCATAAAACCTGGCCCACGTTGGATGGGTTTAAAATTAGTGAAATAGAAAATACCTATTAATTTGCTGGAAATATCCATGGCTCAACGTTAGTGTTAAAAGAAAGAAAATATGTAAACAAATCGCGCCCATGCATAAGAAAAATCGACTTGACTATACCATTTCATGCAAGTATAACTTTAGAGGAAATATTTTAAATGAACATTTAACGTGCATGACAATATCAAATAGATGAAATAGTCAAATAGACTAAACATTTCAAGTCAAAAAGTACACGTAGTTTTAAAAACTATAGTATTTTGGAACAAAAACTATAGTTATGGAAACTATAGTTATTAAAACAATAGTTATTAAAAGGAAGGCTCGTGAGATTAGCTATGCTAAAATGGTTTTGTAATACCTTCTTTAAAGATGCTGTAAAGTCCGTTCTGCGCATATATTCTGCGCATCAACACATTCCATCAGTGGGGAAGCAACCTTTGGAATGTTGTTAATATTTCGCACCTTCCGAACTTTCTTGAATTCAATATCTAGTCTGCATTCATTTACAAGCATAGCGAACCGGAAGAGTGTTAAAAATTCAGTATAATATATATCTAATCATATTTTACAACTGTAGCGCTGAGTTCAAAATGTAAACAAAGCGTTTGTTTATCTAGACCGCCGCTCTACCTATTGAGCTATCGAGTCAAGGATGGTTCTGAAATAGAATGGATGGTTCTGAAATAGAATTGAAACACTGCGCGTCCTCAAAGACAAGCGTTAAGTCGTCACGAAAATATTTCGTGCACTTAAATTGGATAAGACTCGCTACCAATCCCTGTTGGGCGTTTGTTTACATTACGGACTTTACATCACCTTTAAATAAAGTAAATTATTATTATTATTATTATTATTATTATTATTATTATTATTATTTAAGCCTTATCTCAAAGTAAATAATCAGATGATTCCTCAGGTTGAGATAAACGAATCATTCCAATATCTAGGAAAGCAATTCAATTATAAAATGGACACGGTCGTAATCGAACAGGAACTAGAATATGATCTTTTTGAATATTTAGAGAAAATTAACAGGCTTCCTTTGCACCCTAGAAATAAAATTCTGATTATCACGAAGTACGTCTACAGTAAACTGCGATGGCGTTTATC